GCTCCTGGCCCCGTGCCGGCGCTGGCTGCAGGGGCGCAGCGCGCCCGCAGGGCTTCCCACAGGGAGAAGCTGCTCCGAACAGCGAACAGGGGCAGTAGAAGCTGCCCCGGTGCCAAACACTTATTTCTGTTACTTGACAGCATTTAGAAACCTCACGCCCCAGTTAACCTAACTCCACACACTGCCTTGACATCTAGACTGCAGCTGTCTGCTTTGAAAGTTATTTTTGAGAAACAACAGAATTTCACTGACAACTTGCCCAGTAACTGCCCCCCCCCCTTTTTTGCCAGTAGTGGCAATACCACACATCACAACCAAGAGGCTAAACTGCCTCCCAGTCCAAACCAGCATAATAAAATTTTAACCTTGTAGACTAACTATAGTAACAGCACCTAAAAATGCCAGGGTACTAACATTTCTCATAAAAACAACCTCTTAATTAGCTTCAGCCATCAGAACAAGTTTCAGTATAATCCAAGCTGAGAAACAAATGCTTCATATTTTAGTTGCAATGCTTACCATTTTGAGAACACAAAATCATTTGTATGGCTTAGAAAACTGCAAATAAATACTCAGGGTGGTGTGGGGGGATCGTTCTATCTTGCTTGGTTCAGATATTTCTATCTAGCAGCTGAAAGCTTTCCCATCAACCTCGGCTATGCCACGGGTTTGCAGGCAATTGTCCCAAAGCAAGAGCTCACAGACACTTTCAAAGGGGCTGTGTGTGATCTGATCCTTTGCTAGCAGTACGGTGACAAGCCCTGGAGCTGGGCACACTATTCACCACTATGCTGGGTGGCATGCAGTCACAGACTCACAGAATGGTTGAGGTTGGAAGGGACTTCTAGAGATCTAGTCCAACCCCGCTGCTCCAGGAGGGACACCTAGAGCACATGACACAGGGTGACATCCAGGCAGGTTGTGAAGATCTCCAGAGAAGGAGACTCTACAACCCCTCTGGGCAGCCTGTTCCTAGTCAGGATAAAATAATTCCTTTTAGACACATGCCATGGAAGTTCAGCCTGAAAAGGCTTCATGAGTGATATTAGGGCTCTTCAAAGGGCATCTTGTCTAGTCACAATGTTAGCATTCAAACAGCGTTACTACTGAAATAACAAAAACTAACAACAGGTCACCACTCTGATTAATACTTTTCTTAGTGAGTATGTACTCCTTGTCATACCAAGGAACTTCAAAATGCAGAATACAGAAAGAAAAAACCACTTCCCACGCCAACCATGCAAAAATTGTTCTGACTGTGTTAAGAGTACCCCGGCTAGCATGCGATTTAAAGCTCTTTACATACAGGGCAAGGAAAGATAGAACAGCCCACTTCATTTACAATTGCACATTATATTACCATTATAGTGCCCGAAGTGGGAAAGCAACAGATCCAGAAGAACTTTCTTCAAGTTTAGATACCAGAAGCCTGAACTACTACTCTAAAAGCCATCGAGCCCGATTCTGCAAGGTCTGTACCACCCAGGCTCCTGGGCACCTAGAGCTCTTTTTAGCTGCTCATCCAAGCAGCCTCTCTCAGGATATCCCTAACAAGCCAAGAGCACTGTGTCTGGAGCCTTCGTCCAAGAGACCCAGGAGAGGCAGTACCTACGTCTGGTGGATACAGCACTTGCTCCACGAAGTCAGACAACTTTGCCACCACCCCCAGATTAAAGTAACAGCAGATGCTATTTGGAAACATATATATATATATATATATATATATATATATATATAAACCTTAGATTTGTACTAGTTCTCCTCTTCGTTGTCTGACATCTCTCTCCTCCTGTCTTTAATTATATTCTCCCTTTGTTTACTTTTCTTTTTCAGACTGCTAACTTTCTTCTTGGCCAAGTTCTCCAATCCTTATATAGCTGTATCAAAAAAAAAAAAAAAAAAAAAAATCCCGTAGAGTAAGTCCAGCTTATGGGACAGAGCCAAGAGTCTCATTTAATGAGACCTTCTTGAACCTGCTTACTTCTCCTGTTTGTACATAGCACAAAGCACCCTGACTTACGATTTTTGATGAACCAAAGTCTTGTTTTGTATTTAACAACACGCGAGAATCACCTCCTCCTAGCTCTGACAAGCATGTGGAATGACAGGAAAATTAGAACTTTCATTTATTGAGCAGGAAATACAAATAAATTCACTTTGACTTCTGGCTCTGTGCTTGTGCCTTCAACACTTTCACAACGATCTTCTGCTCTTCAATAAGAAAAGCTCGTTTGATTCTGGAAAGGAAAACAGATACAAGCACAGTTTTAGCATGTGTAACCAATAAAGTGAAAACACAATGAAGCAGAATTATTTTTGTTGTCATTAACATTCAATACTGCACACATGGTGTTAGTTCCAGAACTATTTGGAGGCATGTTTTCATGACTCCATGCATTAACGGGAGCATGCAGGTGGCATGTTTTCAATGTTCTTGGAAAAAAAAAATCGAAAGGCAGGGAGAATGGCCCTGTACGAACGTAAGGATTTGACAATGAATCCTAGCGTGCTCGCAAGGCTCAGCATTAGTGTCTTCTAGGCAGCTACTGAAGAGTCTGAGTAACACCTGGATGCTGAATAGTGAAATGTTGAAAAAAGTCCTTTCACAAATTTGAAATTCAAAAAGTAAAACTTCTTAATGTCAATCCACTTGGCAGTTCTTAAGAGTAAAATACTGCTGAGACCAATTGTGATCAGTTTTCTTCCTTAGAATTGCAGGAAATTTAAGTCAGCCTGGTTATAACAATAAGAGCAGTTTCATATTTACAGCTCCTTTGTGAGAGAGAGAAGATGATGCAGAAGACAGACTTGCCAATTATAGTGAAGAAAGTACTTACATCACTTTTAGGTAGAAAAATATACTTTCTGAAATACTCGATTATTAAAAATGACCTATCAAGCATGAAGTGCCTGAGAAGCTAAAAAAAACCCACAGCATTTAACATGCAAGGTATCGATAAATCATAGAATCATCATAGAATCATAGAATGCTTAGGGTTGGAAGGGACCTCTAGAGATCATCTAGTCCAACCCCCCTGCACACGCAGGGTCACCTAGAGCACGTGGCACAGGACTGCATCCAAGCGGGTTTTGAAGATCTCCAGAGAAGGAGACTCCACAACCTCTCTGGGCAGCCTGTTCCAGTGCTCTGTCACCCTCACTGTTAAGAAATTTTTCCTTAAGTTCCTACGGAATTTTTGATGTTTCAGTTTCCGGCCATTTCCTCTAGTCCTATCAGTGGCCACCACTGAAAAGAGACCATCCCCGTCCTCTGCACTCCCTCCCTTGAGGTATTTATATACACTGATTAGATCCCCTCTCAGCCTTCTCTTCTCCAGGCTGAACAGGCCCAGCTCCCTCAGCCTCTCCTCATAGGGCAGATGTTCCAGGCCCCTGATCATCCTTGTAGCCCTGCGCTGGACTCTCTCCAGCAGCTCCACATCCCTCTTGTACTGTTGAGCCCAGAACTGGACACAGTACTCCAGATGCGGCCTCACCAGGGCTGAGTAGAGGGGCAGGAGCACCTCCCTCGACCTGCTGGAGATGCTCTTCTTAATGCAGCCCAGGATCCCATTGGCCTTCTTGGCCACGAGGGCACACTGCTGCCTCATGGTCAACTTATCATCCACCATGACACCCAGGTCTTTCTCCGCAGAGCTGCTCTCCACAAGCTCAGTCCCCAGCCTGTACTGGTGTCTGCGGTTATTCCTCCCCAGGTGCAGGACCTTGCACTTGGCCTTGTTGAATTGCATGAGGTTTTTCACCGCCCAGTTGTCCAGTCTGTCCAGGTCCCTCGGGATGGCAGCGCAGCCCTCTGGGGTATCAGCTACTCCTCCGCTGATCACCACTCTCTGGGCCCTGCCATCCAGCCAGTTCCTAATCCATCTCACTGTCCACTCATCTATCCCACACTTCCGGAGCTTGCCCAGGAGGATGTTGTGAGGGACGGTGTCAAAAGCCTTGAAAGATAAAGATCTGTCACACAACTAATTCTAAGTACCAACTACAGTAGTTTAACTTAGGATTCACACATGTGAACAAAGATTTGTCAAGAAAACAGATGTATGATTATTAGGCAACAAAATTCAAGTCACTGAGACCCAGTGAAGCCCATCGTATAGATTATCCAGAGAGGCTTAACATGCATCCCTATTTTGAATAACAAAACACCACAAAGACGACAAAAGCTCAACTGATCTTACAGACATCTCTGCATAGGACAAACAAAACAATTAAAAGGAGAAGTCTCTACTAGGAAGCTAAATTAAAAAAGAGGAGAAAAAAAAAGGAAAGAAACCCATACTGAGTGAACAAAATGTTTATCCAAGCTACAACACAGTAAGAAATTATGAAGAACATCACCTCTACAAAGGAGCTCCAAAAGAAGTAACCAACTCAAATCCAGGGAGTCTGATTGTAGACTTCACTGCCAATCTGCCCCTTTTGCAATTTTTACTACACATCAAAGAGGCTTTAAAATTATGACATATGCTTTGAAAATATTAAGATATAACAACTCATACTAGATAACCTCAAAAATAAAGTCAGCTTTCTGACTTTTCTGACAAGCTTACCTGTCACGGACACATTTAGCACACATAGAACCACCATAGGCTCTGCTAACATGCTTCTTTGTTTTTGAAAGTCTCATAAGAACTTTAGGACGCACAGCACGAACCTACAGAAAGCACAAGTTAGTCAGTATCGTAAGACAGCCCCGAGGTAATAGCAACATTAAGAAAATTCACTTTCACATTCACACTCCAAACACTTGTTTAAACAACAGGAACACGTATAAAACGCTGTGCGTATACACCATCTTCAGCATTTCTTTTAAATTAATCTTTGCTTCTTCTACCACATTAAGTTCTTTCTTTTTTTTGAACAAAAAAATGCTTTGGGGACTCAAAGACAGACATTATTTGTATGCTAATCATTAAAAGAAAAGGTATTAAACCAGAAATGTATTCTGGAGAAAAAGAACATGTTAAAAAAAGAATACGTTAGAAGAATCCACTGTTTCTAAAACTGAAAATAAAACTTGGCTTATACCTGTCTAATACCTAACAGGTACAATTCATACTTCAAGTTTTCAATATGTATATTTATATATATATATTTTAATAGAAAGCTGCCTGCTACAGCATCATCAACACTGGAGTTTAAAAAGCTAAGCCACTTACGAGCTAATTTACAAAATGCTTCAGATAAAACAGCAGTGAGGCTCATGATCATTTGAAAAAATGCTTTTATTCTTCAAGCTTTCAAAGCACTGGTTTACAAGCTAAGCATTACAGTGTTCAGATGACCCAAGAAGCAACGTAAGGAAGAGTGATGTTCCAACAAGAATTCAGCAAGAACCACAGAACTGGATTCAGCATTAAGCAAACGACATCTTATGTCACTAAAGCTAGCACTTACGCCACGAAGTCTTCCTGGGCACACACCACATGCTGACTTTGGTGCCTTCCCTACTTTCTTGGTGTAAAGGTAAACAATCCTGTTCCCAGGTGTTCGGGACCTAAATGCATCGGGAGCACATGTAGTCAGCAGCACGAAAGACGCTTAAACAACTGTAGAGCCCTTAAAAGCCAAGTGCTACTTACAGCCTGGTCTTGTTGGAAGCTGTGTTGTAGGACAGCCTACGGCGGTAGGTCAGGCGCTGCACCATTGTTTATACCTGACCCAGAGAAAAACAAAGCAAGCGTATGAAGCAGGCCCCGACTGCAGCGCAGGTCTCAGACCGACGAACCCGGCGGCCGCCGCACAGGCCCCGGGGGCCCTC